TATCAATACTATAGAGTATAGAATATAGATTTAGCTCCATAAAATAACATTTAATGTAGATTTAAAAACAGATACAAGGAGCTTAGCATTTTATAGAACATCACATAGGAAGAATTAGAGAGTATCAATGCGACAAAATAAAGGTTAAGCTAATATTAAAATATAATGAAAGTTAGAAAATAGATTCATATAGCAAACCTGGATGAATCAAAAAAATATCGTCGAGAATCATTTGAAGGAATCGCCAGGCCGTCATCGCCGCTGCTCTGTCGTCTGATGCGCAAGGGACTCTGTCGTGCCAAAGAGGATCCATATCCGAAATCCCATTTACACGATGATCAGATACCTGGCAACTTGAAGCGAGAATGAATAGATGTTAGGAATCTGGATCCGAATGTGTAGCAGGAAGGCAGGAACGTAAATTCTAAAGCCTAAGAAACGCATGAGTAGTAGGGTTTATTAAACGACGAGTAGGAATTTGCTCAAATGACCTGAAGGTTAGGCGGGAACTCACTTAGTTGAGTTAATTAATACTCCCTCCGGTTCTTATTTAAGTTCCTGGTTTGGCTTCATACATATTAAAAAAATAAATCTGACTTTACTGTGGAGTAGTGCACTCTTTGAACACTGTTTGACACTGTTTGAACACTGTTTGACACTGTTTTGGTGTAAATCATTTGCCAAATAAGGAAAGGTTTGAAGTAGGAACTTTAATATGGACCATCACAAAAAGGAAAGTATGAACTTAATTACGGGACGGAGGGAGTATATAGATTCTGCCATAAAGAAAGATGGTCCCACCAAATTTGATAAAATTTGATTTATACGTAGAATAATAAAATTAATGTTGATTTGTTTATTTGTTTATATTTGTACAAAAGAAAAAAATAACTTTGAACACATTTTTTTTATTTCAAACGAATTTGGTTAAAAAATCAGAATATAAAGCACTTCGGCAATGCACCGTGATTTTCATTGAAATTACAAAAATGTCACCGTTTTTAGTTGTGATATCAGCTTTCTTGTAATAACACGGTGCTCATTATTGAGCGCTTATTACTAATTATTAAAATCGGACTATTACTCATGAACACTAATGCTCATTTAGCAGAAACCGCGATTTTCACATTAATTACAAAAATGCCACTAAATTATTATGGAATTTTTCTCTCGGGCCTGTTACTGGGCCCGCTGTATGGTGCTCACTGTACAGCCGGCTGTATAATATACATACTCAGTATGACTGTAATGTGTGGTTGAATTGATCTTTACTTATTTATTTTACTATGTACGAAGTACGGAGTATTAGTTAGGGTACTATTATGGTAGTGCCTGTTGGAACCTTCAAACACATTCTTTAATTTTTTGAGAAAATTGTTTAATATAGAACCAAAACTCAATCTTTTTCCCAAAATAGGACTACATGCATGTTTTTACCCCTAATTAACCTTACCTTTTTTACCCCTAATTCTATTTAATTAATCAATTGATCTAAATAATTGACCCCCTAGTTTCCTTGCACAACCAAGGCAGTCCGTCGGCGACGTGGCAGCCCGTGGTGGAGGCAGCACTCCGGCAGCCAGTCGGTGGCGGATTTCGTGGCGGCGAACTATCGCAATTAATTAACCCAATTAATCGCAATTATACTTTAAAATTATAATTATAATCATATTTATAATAAAATTAAATTAAATTAAATATTATAATAATTATACCTATCACACTAATTATAAGTATAGATACAATTGTAATTGTAATTATATTTTTAATTAAAATTACTCATATAATTATAATAGTGAGTATAATTATAATATTTATTTCTATAATTGTAATTATAATTATAAATACATTTATAATTATCCTGTTTAATGATAATAAATACAACAACAACAACAATAATAATAATATAAAATATAATAATAATTTAATAATTTAATAAATTATAATAATAATATCATTACTATAATAATAATATTATAATAATATTATAATAATATTATAATAATAATGTTATTATTATAATATATTATTATTATTATATTATATTATTATATTATTATTATTTAATAGGAATAATAATATTATTAATATTATAATAACATCATATAATAACATTATTATAATTTAATAAAATATTCTAATACTCTCTTCGTTCTCTAATACTTGTCCCTCTTTCTATTTTGGGATGTTCTCTATTAGTTGTCTTTCCTTTCCATTTTCAGTAAGTTTTTACAATAAATATAGACATTACCCTCATTCTCTTTCCTACTTTTTCCTTTACACACAACCCACTACACCTTTTATCCTACCCCTATTAATTTCTTCTTGAATCTTGTGTCAAAGCCTATACTCTCATCTATTAGAGAACGGATGGAGTATTATTAATATTATAATAATATTATATATGATAATACTATTATTATAATGTAATATTATTATTTTAATAAGAATATTATATTATTATTGTTGTTGTTTAATAATAATAACAACACATTATTATTATATTATTATATTATTATTGATGTAATATTATTCTTATTAATTATAATGTAATGATAATGATAATAATAATAATAATTATAATTAATATAATAATAAAAGTGATAAATCACGTTTTAACTTTTCTGATATAATCTGAATCTTTTTGATCTGATCTGAATGCCTCTGATCTGATGTAAATCTTTCTGATCTGATCTGATCTGATTTTTTTCTGATCTAATCTAAATAAAATAAGAATAAACAATAATTAATAAGAATAAGACGAACAGAATAGCTTCTAAATCATTCAATGATGGGAAAAGGGGCAAAAAAACCCTAAAGTTATATCTAAAGGGCATCTAAGCCCTTAAACAAATTTTTGGAGCAAAAAACAACCGTTTCCAGTAAAAGAGGGCATATCCCCTCTCACTCACGCTAAACACACGGAGTAGTTAACAGTTAAGGGCCTGGGGCCCTGGGTTGAATTTCCTCTACATAAATCCCATCAAAATCTGTTTTTTTTTGTGCGCAAATATCTTAAATAAACATGTGGCAAATTAACTAACTAAATGCCGAATTATAGAGTTAATATGTTTTAATTGGATTGAATTTTTTTGATCTGATGTAATTTGGTCTAATCAATTTTTGTCTGATCCGTTATACATTTTTTTGCTTAGACTTATTTTAGTCTTAGACAAAATCACACCTGAACAAATCTGAATAGACATAAAATAGACTAGACCTCGAAAAAATATAAAATACCTAGAAACAAAAAATCTACAGAACAAGACAAAATTAGACCAATTCAAACTAGGTCAAATCACAAAGCACATCGAAGTTCATATTTCTTCTTTGTGAGCAAATGTCTTAGATAAACATGTGACAAATTAACTAGTCAATGTGTCAAATTATAGAGTTAGGGAATTTTTAATTGTTCTGGACTTTTTTTTATCTGATCTAGTTGATCTGATCTATTTTAGTGTCGAGCTGGTTTGGTCTAAAATATTATTTTATACAGAGTACATAGTATTACTTTTACCGATGTCTCACTTAAAAGCTCATATCCACTATTCTCTGATCAATGTAAACTAATCTATAACCTTTTACTTTATATATTCAACCTTATTAAATTTAATTTTTTTATTAACTTTATAAAACTTTTAATGTAGCTTCTGATATCTATATCTTCATATTATCTTCATAATCTATTTATAATTATTTTTAATTATTTATTATTAAGAATAATAAAATTCCTTCAAAAATATTGTACACTATATTTTCTCTGTTTTTTCCGTGTATCTTCTATATATAAGTAAAAGGGGCAAAATATTACGACATGATAAAGAAGATGAAATAGTTTTTGCATACTTTTACTCTTTATAATATACACATTAAAAATGTATGATAAGTCGAGAATATATACTGTACAATAATTTGGGAGGAATTTTTTTATTTTTAATAATAAATGAATACAAATTAATTATATGCGGATTATAAATTTATAATATACGGAGTATGAGGAAGCGGTTCAGCCCAGCTGGTCGCCGGCTCACTCTCCCTTACGGGAGGTCTCGGGTTCGAAACTCAATGGAGTGAGTTTCACCCTAGATTACCTCAGGCTTCCCCCAGCCCCCCCCAGATGCCATATGGAGCAAAAAAAATAATATAATATATGGAGTATATACAATATTAATGACATTTCATAGCAGACAAGATGAAGGTTTTTTTCAATTGAAATTTTATTATCTGGTCGAATCTGTTTTGGTCTGGTCTGAATTGGTCTTATTTTGTCTTGTTCGGTAGATTTATGATTTTTGAGTATTTTATAATTTTTCGCGGTCTAGTCTATTTTATTTCTATTCAGATTTGTTCAAGCGTGATATTGTCTAAGACTAAAATAAGTCTAAGTAATTTTTTTTAAAATAGATCAGACCAGATTAGATAAAAATTGATTAGACCAAATTACATCAGATCAAAAAAATTCAATCCAAATAAAACATCTTTTAACTCTATAATTTGGATGTGATTTAGGCAGAGAAAGTTCAACCCAAGGCAATTAAGTACTCCCTGTGTTAACCGTTAGTGAAGGGGAGATCCTTTACCGGAACAGGAGTTTTTTGCTCCAAAAATTTGTTTAGGGGTTTGGATTTGCCCCTTTTCCCTTTACGGCCTGTTTGAATTGAGCGTTAGCGGGTGTTAGTAATGGAAGTGTTGGGGAGTATTTAGTATAACACTTGTTTGGGAGGAAAATTAGAAAAAATAAGAGGTGTTAGTAAGTGTTAGAGGGTGTTAACAATAACCTTCCTAACACCTATATTTTTCACTTTTTTTAACACCCCAATTTGGGTTGTAAGGAAGTGTTGGACAATGTTTACCCAACGTATCTCTCTTGCCGACTTTGTCTCCTCCCCTGCGGAGTGCAGACTGTTCTCCTTTCTCCCGGGCTTCCAGAGTTCCCAGCGGTCTATTCTCCAGATTTGTCTATTCTTCCCCCAAATTTTCTTCACCTATTTGTATAGCAAAATCCATCTATCATGTGTGTGTATATATATATGTATATGAATCTTGAGATGCCCGTGGATGTGGAAATATATGACGGCTCAGTGCTCTGTAGCAGAATAGCAAACCAAATGAAAATGTGAAGAAAGGTATGCATACATACGAATACGTATACGACTGCTCATCACAATCTTTATATTTTTTATTTTTATTTTACTTTTGTAACAACCCAATTTAATGGTATATTTTTTAGTTATATTCTTTTCAGTAGAGCAGCAAATATATTTTTCGTTCTTCAGTGTGTATTTCTTTTATATTCGTAAATGTTCCTAGAGTTTTGTCTAAAGACATGAGGCATGGTTTATTAGAAAAAAGACATGGACATTTTCGTCAATTTAACTAAAAATATTTCCATTACTAACACTTCATTTTTTAACTCTCCCAAACAAGGTAAGATTATGTTTAATACTTACACTTATTAACACTTCTATTACTAACACCTCCGGACACTCTATCCAAACATTAGGGGCATTTGCCCCTTTTCCCTTCGATAATACGAAGTACAAATTTTGGGTCGACTGTAAGTTGTATGATATACGAACGGTTTTAATTAGCCTCTCTCTCACATCGCTTATTTAGGGTTTTCTTTGTTGTTCCTGCGTCACTGTCACAACAATGACGAAGAAGAAGCCGGTGAAGGTATACGGGAAGGTGAAGCATTCTTTAGATGTTAATAGAGGTGGCCGCAGAACTAAATCCGGCCGCAGCGCCGCCACTGTGCGCCGGGTAAAGATGTACACCAATAGGCCCAAACGTGATAGGAAGGGGAAAGTATTAAACCACGAATTGCAATCCAAGGAACTTCCGTCAACTCGAATTCAACCAGATCAAAGATATTTTGGTGGGTTCCCCATTCCCTCCAATTCTGAGCTTCTATGCGACTCCGCATACGTCTTTATATTGCTTGCCGTTCTAATTTATGGATTTATGTTTGCGGAATTAGTAAAAAAACAGTCATCTCTAAATTCTTTGCATTTACTTTGTTCCGGTGATCTTTGGTGACATTTTTGTGAACTCGATCTGTAGGCAATTCACGAGTAATAGATCAGAAACAGCTTCAGATCTTCCGTGAGGCATTGCATAGCCGGATATCTTGTAGCTACAATGTAATTTCCAAGGACACGAAATTGCCTGTTTCTCTTTTAAATGATCATCGAAAGGTACTCAAATCTCTCTCTCTCTCTCTCTCTCTCTCTGCATTTGTCTCATATTTATGAATATCAATATACCGGAGTATCATTCTTTGAGGGCTTGAAAAAAATACCCGTTAGCTATAGCTGTTTCTTTCTGAAGAAAATTTATGCACAGAAGTTTAGCTAGTTTGGTGTACATATAATCAGGTACAGTGTATCTGTGTGTCTAATGAAGAGTTCCTTATAAGTAGAATTCCTTAATTAGCTGACCCTCAAGTTTGTGCCAGTTCTCAAAATGACCCTTTTCTGTGCATGGTTCTGTGATAAATGACCCCATTAGTTTTTAAGAGTTCTTTAAACTATCTCTAGGTTAATTTAAGGAATGTGAAGAATAGTGTGATTTTCTAATATGTCACAAACATGAGAGTACACGGCATCCTTTGGCAGGCTATTTGAAAACATAAATTGAGAGTATAAGCATGTCATGCTAAGTAACCCTTAAACCCTTTATGGTATGCTAATAGGAAATGGTTTCTTGATGCTCTTCACCTAAGAAATCCAAACAAAAAGCAAATGCTCGTGAGCTCGATAGAATGCATTGTCTTGCTATTTCTTTTCCCCGTGCAGTAGGGGTGGGCCCGATTGGGCTTCTGCTTCAGTCCAGCTGTTTTGGGGTCCATGAGATCCCTTACATATAACCAGGGCTAGAAACTCTGGTGCGTTTGTGGTCTGTTTATCCTATTGAAAACATAACCAGTTGAAAACCTTTTTTGAGGAACCGGAATCGTACCTGAAATGGACCTGTTTTGTTCTGCAAGTGCAAAACATGCCAAAGGTCCGGGCTTTACCTGGTTGGTTCAGTCCTGTCCAAAACGGGTACAGGGGGGCTGTTAACTGTTAAGGATATATAACCATGTTGGTTTTTGTGGTGAGTGTTTAGGATGTGTAACTGTCCTACAATAACATGGCTTTTTAATGACCAAAGTTCGTATTGGTTTATGACCAGTAATGTAGTATATACGTAGTACTCCATCTACTCCGGAGTATTGTTTATAGATGTGGATCACTTTTTTACCGAGTATTTGATTGGCACAGGGATGGGAACATAATGGCATGACAGCTTCAAAGATGGTATTTGATGCCAGTCAGACGAAATATAGCGACTGTGGTAGCACCGCACAAAACAGAAAAAGGCGCAACAGAGGAGCAAAAAGACGTCGTCCAGGAGGAAAAAGCAGATGAGGCAGGATTCGACATTCCTGTTCAAATGGATATGTGCCGTGAGAGTGAGTTGCTGTGAGAGTAGAAACCCACAAGCTTCATGAGATTGGATGATTCGTGCTTTGGTCATGTCAGTCTTTGGATTCGTTCAAGTTCAGCTCAAGTTTTGATTTTTCAAATTCCATTAATTCATTTCTGCAATTCTTGTTTGTTCATATTCAAACCAATTGAAGTATATTGTCGGAAGTAGGTTTGAATATGTGAAGTTTTTGCTTACCATTCTTTTGTGTGGCCTTATAGTACTTCTCAAAGCCACCTTTCCTCTCAATGGTAGGACTAAACACGGATGTAGGATTTCCTTACCCAAATCGTAAGAATATAAATCATTTTTTTAGAGAAATATAAATAATTGTTTTTTATCGTATGGCTTGGATGTTGTTGTTTGGTGTTGATGTACAGTGGTGGACTCGGGCCGGGTGACCCGACCCGGAACCGGAACCGGCCCGATACTGTTGGGCCCGGCCCAACCCGGTGGCCCATCCAGGGGACCGGTCCGGGTATGCCCGGCCCGGGGGGTTTTCCGGTGCGGACTCAGGTCATGTAAATAAGGAACCGGCCGGGCCGGGCCCGGTTTGGGCCATATTTTTTTTCAATTTTTTTTGAAAACCCGGGTTGGGTATTCTGGGCCAGTTGGGGTGGTTTGGGGGGTGGGGGGTGGTTAATTAGGAAAAGGAAAAAAAATAGGAATTGGCCCGAGGCCTGGCTCGACCCGGACCCGGCGGCAACCCGGGCCAGTCCCGGGCCTTCCCCCAAACACAAAAGCCTCGATTGGGCATTTGGGCCTAGGCCCGGCCCGAACCGGCCCGGCTCCACCCCTATTGATGTATGGTGTATTGGTATAATATACCAATATCATGAACTTTGACCAAGAAATCAAGAATCATCATTTAAAATTTTTTGTTAATCAAATTAAACTTTGACTAATAATCTTTTATAATAGATTATGTATGATATAAAAATGTATGAATATGTTTTTTTGTTAAATTTACTTTTCACAAAATTTAAGTAACTTTCACATATACGTACTACGTAGTATTATAGTACTCCCATAGCATATTATGGTATTATTGTGTGCTAAAATTTGTTTATAAAAGAGAGAACACAAAATCCACAATTTCCCCTCTCACAAAGTAGCTCCACAAAATTGACATTTAGAAGATGGATGTACTGTATTCAAATATGAAATGTCTAAGAGCATCTTCTTTAATGGGGCTTTGGATTCCTACAAATGCATTGCCACGTTGATTAAATCGAAGAGGAAGTAAAATTTTCTTCTCCAACGGAGACGTCTATATCAGAAGCGTTGCTGAGCTAGAACGCACACCGTCTAAGGCAGTATCTATTTTCAGAAGGCCTCCTAGACAACATGACTTAGCAAATTATGATTTTAATTAATTTCAATTTCTTTTTGCACGCTTGTAGCAATACCAACCCTACGTTGAAAAACAGTGTCGCCGGACCTGAACGGAGTTTTCCTCCAGGCTCCAACACTATATACGCAGTTGCTTACATCTGCAGACCTTCGTAATTAGAGACATTGTATATTAGACCTTCGTATTCATGGCGTCACTCTAAACTCTCAGTTGAAGGCCGCCGTCGGCTCTTTGGTGCATAAAAACGACAGCCTCAACCTGGTCCTTCTTAGCAGGAGTGAATATAAGATCCAGGGGAATCTGTATAGAACTAGTCTGCGGCACGAAACTAACAAGGAAATTGAATTAATTGGGTAGTGGAGTTTAGGATAGATTTGAATTTGCAGGGTGAAGACATCTCTCGTGTTAATTGTAAAATATATTTGTTTACAGTAAATGTAAAAGTTGTTGGGCAAAGCAGAACAAGATTTATATATAAGAAGTATATCAAAATATAGCAGGTTGGGTGTATCAAAATATAGCAGGTTGGGTATGAGCTGCTTTTAATTGCAGGGAAGTAAGTTGAACCTAGGTGGGATTGTCGACCTCCTCGGATCTGTGTAGAAAGCTTCTGCAATTCGCTAGTACACTTGTATGGATGGTAAAATTTTTATCGTTATGGGGTAGGAATAGAAAATAATTTGGTTGTTGAGGTTTATTCCTTCAACCCTTGGACCCAACACGTAAGCCCAAAGATTTCGAGTGGAGTGTGTGGATATCTAGCCCAACAACTTTCAGATGGATCAGGAAACAAGAGGAATAGCAGGCAATGTAAATAGGTATTATTAACTCCGTAATAACTCCCCTAAGTACAATCTACTTGCTAAAAAGGCACGTCGGCCGTTCGTCTTACAAGGCACTTAGAAATGCTGCAAGTAAGAATGCTGAAGCTAGTATGCTAAGAATAGAAAGTTGCCAACCCTTTACAATGAAATAAATGCTTCTATTTATACCCGCCAATGGGCAGGTGGCTGTAGTGACGTGGCAGCCTGTGGACCGCTGGTGTCCCAACTACCAAATCTTTAGCATTAAATGCACTTCCCGCCAGAATCTAGGTTTCCCGCCGGATCAGTGGGGACGTTCGTCCACCCAGGAAGTGAGTTGGATCGCTCTAAGTGACCCTCAGGTGATACCGGCTGTTCGTCTCCTGGCCTTGATAGATACTCACCATGTGGACTGGGTTTCCTCCGATGACTACAGGCTTGCTCTGGGGACGTTCGTCGGGATGAGCTGCTGGGCCTGAGCCCCCCAACACCAGACGTTCGTCCATCCTCAAGGAATATGGGCCTGTGGGTTGGCCTAGTGCTCTAACCGGACGTTCGTCTGGCAAAATGGGTTAGTGGGCCGGACCTCGGCTTGGGCCCTTAACCCAACACAAGTCCCCCACTTCTGATGTTCTGAGCATGCGCAGGACATAAGGAAGTATGAACCTCCCCGAAGCAGACGTCCGTATCCTGGTACTTGTGTTTATTGCACCTGGTGGAAGCGTACGTTCGTGGTCCTGGTGCCTGACAGCTGTTGACGGTTCAGGAAACGAGGTGACGGCTGATGTTGCGGCGGCGCATTTTCCCGAGGAAGTGTCATCATTACGTTCCCACCCCACGCACAGCGCGTGGGCCGGAATACGCTCCTTGCCACGTGTCAGCCCCTCGTTGGTTTCTCCATCGGTGTTTCTCCTATAAATGCTGGGTTTTCCCTCTGAATTAGGGTTCCCAATTTCTGCTCTCTTGCTCTCGATCTTCCGCAGCTCTTCAAGTCTCCTGAATTCGGCTAACCCCTTTGTAAGGTAATTTCCCCCCTTTGCTTCTTTTCTTTACTCCGATTTCTAGTCGGAATGACTTCGATGGAGATCTCCTCAAGTTCTGATTCCAGTTCGTCGGGTTCCTCCTCGGGCTCCTCTTCTGAAAATGCGAATGCACGCTCCCTGGGCAAAACTAGTGTTTCTGGAAACTCGGGTTCGGCCACGACGGTGGGAACCATCCGGGCTGATGGTGAGTCGGGTAGTGCTTCCCGAGGTAGTGGGAGCAGCGGCAGGGGTGGGGATGCCGATGAGGCAGTGGACGTTATCGATGCGGTCCCCCTGAATGAGCGTCCTGCTGATTATGATTCTGGAGAGGAAGCCGAATCTGGTTCTGATATGGAGGTGTACGATCTGGGCATCCCCACAGATATGGAGCGCCACATCTGCCCGATCAGGAGCGCCCTTGACCACGACCAAGTCCTCTCCCGCGTGGCCCTCAATAAAATCCGTACCTTCCTTCCTCCACCGTTCGTCTGGAGTGTGAGAGGCGCTGAGCATGTGATGAGGAGACGTCCGGGGATGATCATGCTTCACCTGGATTCCGTTGAAGCCGGGCTGCGGTTTCCACTTCATGCGTTCTATGTGGAGTTCTTCCACTGTTTCCAGGTGGCCCCGGCGCAATTCATGCCAAATTCTTATAGGTTCATTTCGGCCTTCTTGGTGCGCTGCAAACTTGCGGGGGTCGATGCCACTCTGGAGCTCTTCCACTATTTCTACCGCGTCACTCCCCAGAATGCCGACGGGTATCTGAGCGTGGCCGCACGTCCCGGGAGGCGGCTGTTCAAGAGCTACCCCTCGTCCATCCACGACTGGAAGAACCGCTTCTTCTTCCTTCGATACGACGGGCCTCCTCTCCCTCTCCGGTGGAATGGGTATCCCCCAAAGATTGAGTCACCGGAGCCGACCGACGATCTGCTTTTGGATGCGGAGAAGGTGTTGGAGGGTGGCGTCCGTCCCATAGCCGGGTATCTGACCTTCGAGGCACTCTCCGGGGCAGGCATAGGTACCCGCCCGTGTCCCTGGACTTTTTCTACCCTTCGACGCTCGTCTCGGGGCACCGGGCGGTCCTGTCCTTCGGGGTGAGTGTCTTATTCTACTTCCCGCTCGTCTTCTAATCCTTGTTGTTTCTTGCAGGTTCTCCGCCAGATCGAGACCAGATGAATCACGCCGAGTGTTTGAAGACAAGGAAGGCCAAAGCGGCCGCTGCTAAAGCTGCACTGGCGAAAGCCAAGAATGCCCCCGCCCCGGAGTCCAGCTCCTCGGCTTCTGACGCTGCCCGGCGAACCGCCGAGGGTGAGCAGCACCTGATTGCCACTATGCTGGCTCAGGGTTCCGGGGCCCCTGCTCTTGAAGCTGCCCTTCCACCGCCGGTCGTCCCGTCGAAGGCGGCTCCTCAAAAGGGGACGGAGAAGGCCCCCGAAAAGAAACAAAAGAGGGGGCCGCGAGGCGATCTCCACCGGGCCCCTGCTTGAAGATGCCGGCTCCTTGCCATTGAGCCGTCCGGCGGAAGAGCTTTGGAGGGAGTTGGCCCTCAAGGCTGGCCTAGAGCTGCCCAGCCGTTCGTCTTCTGAGGCGACCAGCGCTGCCCTGGCAGCCGCTCTTCAGGTAATTCCCCCTTGCTAGATCTGAGTGCGTTTTTCTTTGACGTTCATCTTCTGACCATTGCCTTTATTTTCCTCTGTTCTCCAGTCTGGGCTTCTAGTCCTTCAAGCTGAGGCTGCCAGGGAGGCTGACCTGAGGGAGGTCAAGTCTAAGGCCGACGCGGCCGTCGCTTCAGCCCGGGAGGCCGCTGCTACGGCCCGGGAAACCGTCCGTCGAGCTGAGGCGGAATCTGCGGCCAAGGGGAGGGAGATAGCAGCCCTGCAGGCTGAATCCCGCTGCCAGCTGGCCAGCCTTGCAAAAGCTGGCATTAAGCTCGTCCCGGTGCACCCTGTTGCAAAGGACGCGAGTCCGGAGTGGCTGGTCGACACCTCCGGCTATCGGAACACTGGGGAGTTTATGGACTCTGCCAGAGATTACTGCGCCGGGGCCTTCGGTGACGTGTTTTCTGCGGCCTTGGAAAAGATACCGCCTCGCCAGCGTTTGGCCTGCGGCGTCCG